ACGTGAATGAGGGTGTATGAATGATCGTGGATGAGGCTAAATGAAGGTGAATAAGGGGAATGAATGGAAAAAATGGGTGAACAAGGTATTATCAGCGGTATTGGGTATGGTCAGCGGTTTATTATCAAAAGGCTCGGAGCCATTCCTACAAAAAAATTAGTGGCTACTCTGTCTGCATTCTGTTCGTTGGCCATTAGAAGTCTGGGTTCTAGTCACCAGCTCCTGAGCGATTTTTCGTTTGAAACGCCTGACTGTTTTAACTGAAAGGCTATTTCGACCATGAAGCCTCCAATAGTTACTCTACGTTTTGCCCTATATGGCTGCAAGAATAGGCCTTTCTTTTTCATCGTGGCAACCAACAGAAAAAGGCCTCGAAACTATGGATATCTGGAGCAGGTGAGGAATACTTATATCCATAGTTATAACTTATTATTGTACATGTTACTGTATGTAAAAGTTCAAGACCAGACTAGAGTATTAACGGAACAAAAATCTATCTATCAATTCATCTAGGTGGGGACTTTCGATCCAATACCTAACACCAGAAATGAAAAGCTGGCAGGCTTAAACATGGATAGAATAAAGTAAGTTGAGAAGTCACCAGAATTATGTTTCATAAGGCAGTTATAAGTTTAAGTTATAAGTTATAAGTTATGAACTGCGATATGTTGTGAGATTAGATATAAGAATTACTTGTGAATTGTTTCAGATATTGGTTATCGGTAGGAGCAAGACCTTCAAAACCTGTGGCTATTTTACTAGGACTGGTAAGTTGACAGCAGCTTTAAGAGTACTGTACCTTTCTTCTTCCCAATGGAAAAATATTGGACATGTAGAATTAAACAGAAAGTAATGTTGAAAAAGGAACTTGAAAGAGAATACAAGCCTCTTTAAATTCCAATCTTTAAAATGACTTCATTTACATTATGTAATGTAGAGGATAGCTTTGAAACCCTGTACATGTGGATGCAATTGTTTTCTCCAGTACCCCACTTGGTTGTGAAACTTACTCTGACACTGTACTGACAGTTTGGAAGTATGTTGGTGTGAATTATGTGCAGGCGTTACTTTGGGGGAACAGGAAATTTCGAGATGACTGCCATAAATACAAGGAGATTCTCAAATAATGTTTTTTAGCGTTGTCACCTGCAGTCTTTAAAAATTGTTATTAACCCCGGCTTTCCTGGATAGAACAAAAAGCCACAGCCTAATTTAACTGTTCCCTCCAATGTGTTGTTCTTTGTGAGAGAGCAAACAGTAACCTTTTCTCTTAGAAGGTTTAAAAAGTACGAGGTGTTTGTGTGAACAGCTTTGTCCTGTGAGGCTACATGTACTGTAAACACCAGCAGATAAGCTGCACTTGCAGATAAGCCGCACCTTGAGTTTAGCACCTCATTTTGGGGAAAAGGTTCCGGGAAAGAAATCAAAATAATTCACTAGTGGAGTTTTTGAGAAAGATTCTTTACATGTACATTTCTTGATTTATTGAAGTCATTCAATGTAAACCCACGTAAACATTGAAAACAGAGAATACATGTACTTCAAACTGAAACCCTTTCCTACAATTATAGTTCTGCAATGGTATTGACATGATGTCTACTGATTTAAACCTATGTTTGATCTTTCTCTGGCATTTTCAACCAGTATCTTTGTTAAACAGCAAGAAATGTAAGCTTATGCTTGTGAACAAAAATGGCTCTTTTGGAGCCACCTAACTTGTAAGACTAAAAGTAATGACTGATGTGAACTCTGATGTTATTACAGTTCGATGAAAAGTGTTACATGTAATTTACATGTATGCAAATTTATTGCACGCTGTCCAGGTGTTCTTGCAGATAAGCCACATCCCTGATTTTTAAGGAGAATTTTTAGTAAAAAGGTGCAGCTCATCCACCGGTGTTTACGGTACTTTTTGCTGCTTTTTATTTTAAGGCTGGCATTCTTCCACCACATCCTCGTAGTCTAGTTACTGCTGCAAAAAACCGGGAAGCCCTGGCTGCTGGAGCTCTGAGTACAGATGTTTTGGAAGGAGCTGAAAAGGATGAAGAAGAACAAGAAAATGCAGAAGATTCATAAAGTTCCATTTGGTGCTTAAAGATGGGAGATTCTTGCATATATTAAATGTTTCAGGGTTCCTTCTAGCTCAAACAGGACTTTTAAAGGTAGAAATGACTTGGCAACAGACTAGTAATCTAGCTATTTTTACATTTTGATTGATTAAAGAGAGCCAAAACATTAATAAAAATAAATCTGCCATACCAGCTTTTCACATAAAGGCATACAAAATTTTTGGTAAGCTTGTGTGATACTAACTGAGGACTACTATACATATAAGTAATCTTTCACAAGGACAGGTTTTGGTTTTGGATTTCAAGTCACATGAGCCTGACAACTGGTCTCCCAAAGTAGGCAGGAATTGAGCTGAGCAATCTTTCTTCATGAGTTATGAGTTATGCTTTGAAATAGAAGTTATGGCCTAAGTCATTTCACTGATGTGAAATAAATTTATGACGAAAGTTACGTAGTCTTCTTCTGAGCAGACTGATCACAAGCTTATCTCAAGCACAGGAAAGGAACTTTAATATGAATAGCATGTGAGAAGGGCCCCATTTGAGTCACACGCATGAGTGGCAAAGAGCAACTAGTACATGAGGGAAGCATTCCAGTGAAGAAGGGTCTGGTGAAGAGGCACCAATGAAGTGACTTTTCTTGCTGCTCTCATGTGTGCTCTGCAAACATGAGCTTTCTCACAGACTAGAATATGAACTCCATAGAATGCTCAGCGGTATCACAATGATAATTTCTTTCACATTGCATTCACAAAATAATAATTATAGACCTTTCTACCAATATGCCAGTCATTTTGAATTCAGTTGTTTCAAACAGGTATTATGGGACGCTCAGGGGAAAAACTGGTGTTGTATTTGCCCCCTAAGCATCCCATAATAGCAATTTGAAACAATGGAATTAAAAAAGGCTGTTTTCATTGGTTAGAAGGTCTATTTACCATGCAATACACACAATACACTAACCAACACCATGTGAAATCATTTTTATAATTACTTGGTATTTCATTTTAATTTTAATGTAACTTGTTTAGTAGTATTAGTACTGAAAATCCCCCATAGGGAGTGCTAATAAAATTTGCATTGTATTGTATTGCATTGGGAAATGGACTGGCAGTCTCGAGATCATGTTACTTTCTGATGAGAGCAAATAACAAAAAAAAATAATGTCCACTTGGTATCATGGTCTTACATGTTTGAAAAGACAAATTGATGTGTATTTACTTGTAGAAAGTCTGCACTCTCATTTTGCTACATGTAAATTCTTTATCAATGAAAATTTTTACAAAATGAATATTAAACAGAATGGAACATTATTTCATTTACAGCTGTACTGGGGGAGTACAATTTCTGGTTTTCAGAGGAATAAAGTGGAAAAGAAGATTCATAATAAAGTAATTATTTTGTTTTATTTAGTCACAAAATTCTTACAAATAATTTTTTTAAAATGACTAATTTTATATGATTTACAACTAGTAATGTCTCATTCTTACATGTATGTGGATGCTGCAAATTGGCTAGTTTTAATAGTGCACTGGACACTGGACTGAGTGATCTGCATATGAACCCTTGCCAGTCATTGCATTGTGTTCTTGGGCAAGACACTGAACTTTCACGGCACCTTTCTCCACCCAGGTGCATCAACAGGTACCAGGAAATATAATGGTGGTAGCCCAGTCATGGACTACTACCCCATTCTTGGGGGAGTACAAATACTTGTATCTTGACACTTCATGCTACACAAACAGGCCACACATGAACATACTACATGTACCTAGCTACATCTTTTTTAACCATAATGAACTTCACAAACTTGTGCACTACAGGAAGATCTCTGTTGTGTGTTGTACTTTCTTAGGCATAAAAATGTGGGATTGCAGTGAAAATTGTGAATTTGAGAAAACCTCTTTGAATGAAATCAAGCTACTTTGAGTTTACACAAGAGTGCTATCTATGTTTCTTGGCATTTTCCAAAGCTTGCTTGTTTGCTTCTCCTCCCCATAATGTTGTAAAAATTGACCTGCAGTTAAAGAAGTGGTAATAGTTACATGTAGAACAAAAGTAATGTGGAACTAATTTTCTCAGCAACTTGTTAAAATAACACATCTCCTTTAAAATTAACACTAAACAGTCTCGTTTCAATGTTACGTCTGAAAAAATTACCGGCCTTGAGAAGAAATTTTTTAATGAATGCAGTGTGTGCACAAAACTTCATTGCTAATAATGCAACTGTATATTAAAGCCCAAACTAATATTGACAAACATTCTCCTTAGTGTTCTAAATGCATGTATTATAAGCATTATTTTATTAATAGTACTAATTGACATCAACATATAAATCCACCTTGCTGGACTCAAGTAGGAAGAGTTTCATATATGTTGGGAGGCACAAAACAATTCACTCACTTCTGGACCATACATGTACACTGTACCTTTCAATGTCCAATGCATCTTTTAGCGTTGAGTCATGTCCTGCTGACACGACGTCCTTGATGGCTCTGACAACTGAGGTGTCTGCCTTTAGGAATTCTGATAACCAGTCACAGCAACTGGTTACCACATCCTAGAGTAAGGAATCAAGAATTTAAAATAAACTTGGTTAGGATTTACTTTCAAACAATTATTACATGTAAATGACAACAAATTTTACAAACTAGCATTAGTCTCAAAATCAACCTAATCTATTAATTTGGCTACCAGCTCAAGATGAAACATTGCAATGCTGACTTCCACTTGATCAAGTGAAGCATTAACTTTGATTTAACAGTTTTTTGTCCTGTTGGGATCACCCTGACTGGTGAAATAAGAATACATGTGTTGCAGGTGAAAACCTGGCTCTTTTTAGCACCTTGTGTTAAGAAGCCCATTGTTTGCAATGACGAAAATAATTATTATCAGTCTCTACTAGTGGGATTATTTTAATCAATAACTTTGATTTTGCATTTGTCCTGTTGGCATCACCTTGACCTAAGCTTAGAATACATAATTATGTTCCAGGTAAAAACCTGGCTCTTTTTAGCCCCCTGTGTCAAGAAGGCTATTGTTTTTTAAAAATCCAAAACAAACAGTCCAAAGGTCTTTCCCATTTTTTGAAATAAATTTAAGAACTACAAAGGATGTATATAATTAATTATTGAAACACATTTCTTCAAATAATGCATAATTATGTAACCATCCAACCTGACCAAGTGGTAGCTCGCCATCCACCAGCCCCAGTTGATGACCATAGGACAGATCCACTTTTTCTCCTTTCCCTAGTAGTTGCAGAGCTTTCTGTTTACCCAAAAGTTTGACAAGCCTTGCTCCACCACCCCACCCTGGTGTCAAACCCATCTTCACTTGAACAAATCGTATCTCTGCATCCTTAGACATGAGTCTGAAGTCACAGGCTGTTGTAAGCTGGCCAAGAAAAAAAGAAAAAAACTGATTTTTGGACTACAAGAAGCCCCACTTTTTTCCCTGTAGCTTGTAATTGTTGAGAGTGATGTGAAAGAAAGTGCGAGAGGAAAAATTTAAGGTGTAAGAAGAAAATAAAGCCAAGCAAGGGAAAGAAAACCTGCACTATTTACTCTTACTTTCACACAGTTACTTTCCTCTTTCTGTGCTTTCTTGCAAGGCGTGTTCGATCAGCAAAGAAAGAGGGGCTGCTTTTACATGTAGTGTACAGCATGCAAAAAAAACCGTGCCACATAGCCCAGGGCTTAAATGAATTTTGCAGTCAGGCTAGTAGGTGAATCTATCCTTTGCTTGTTCCGGGGGCAAGCAAAGATTTTGGGAAAAGTACAGGAATAAAATTCAAATTAAGGAAGATGGCATTATTGCATTAGTAATAAATTTTAAATTAATTAATCATGCCACTAAAAAGTTCTGCGGGGACTAGTGAGAATGATCTTTGGGCTAGAACATCACAGTTACAGCTTACCCAAAAGGTAAAGGGTAAGCCTCCTGAAAATATGTTTTCTTTGCAACCCACTCATGTGTCTCTTGATTGGGGTTAAAGCTCTGAGTTACGTGCAGGCAACAAAAAATTAGGGCAAGTCAACAAGCAAAGCAAGCCTTCAAGTGAGGGAGTGAAAATGCCCCCACCCCTCCAATTATGTTGGTAAAAGGACACAGCTTTGTTACTTCTCGCATGGAGCCTAAAACAAGAGAGAGCAAACCCAAACGAGAAAGAGTGAGACCAAAACAAGATAATCCACTTGCAGGTTAAGAGAGATGAGACCCATTTGAAGGTTTCAGAGGGCTGTTACTACACAAAAAGTTTATTCACAGAACTGGTCAGTATAAAACACAGACTTGTGGACTGCAGACTGCAGACTTTTGAACTGAATGATGTTACCATTTCTATCATTGAGAGCTAACTGTAAACAGGCTAATCAGAACATCATGTAGGCTAACCTGAGTGACGTTCAGGCTAACCGGAGTGACATTCAGGCTCACACTCCAGAGTGCAGACTTTCACTGCCATTAGCCTGAATGACCCTGTTTACGGTTAGCACTGAATCAATGGAAATAACATGATTTATTATATAGACACAAGTGTTTTACTGGAAAACACACCACTCGTAGAATTCATATGAAACCACATCCGGGACTCAGGTGGCGTATTTTCCATATCCTCACTAGTAAAGATATTGATGATTTTACTGATATCAAGTTTGGCTCTTAAATTGTACTTAAATTTGTTGGTGTATGATCGAAACACCTTTGGGTCTTCCTCAAAAGTCTTTGGCAATCTTCGGCAATCTTTGAAAATCTTCGTTAATCTTCGGAAATTTTTGGAAAATGTTTGGCAATGTTCGTGTGACCTTTGGACAAGTATTGGAGAATCTTCCAAAATCTTTGGAAAGTGGTTGGAAATCTTCGGAAAATCGTCAAAAACGCCGTCATCAGTATGTCTATATAATAAAAAGAACATTTAGCACATTAGCTTGAAGATGTTAATTTTATGTTCTCGTGGCAAGAACAAGATCTCACTCTTTTGCTGCACTCACTTGAACTTAAAATCCATATCTTCTCGCCAATGTGTAGTATCCTCTATATATACTTAGAAAGTCTGAAGTCTGCATTTTACTCCTGGTCTACAGTCTGCATTTCACCCTCAGTCTGCATTTTAACCTGACTGCAGTCTGCAGTCTGCAGGCTGTGTTTTACACTGACCGTTCAGAACCAATGAGCTACTCACTTCAGCGCCTCCACCAAGTGCCCTTCCTTCAACAGCAGCCACACTAATGAGAGGGAGACTTTCCAGGCGACTCAGAGTTCTTTGCATAAAAGCACACATTAAGTTTCCTTCTCTAGGGGTATTGATCGTCTTAACTATACTTAAATCAGCACCTGAGCAAAACGAGCCTTCAGAGCCATGTAAAATCAAAGCTGTTCCATGTTCCCATTGTTCAAGCTCGTCAACTGCTTCAGCAAGTCTGACCATCATGTAACCAGTCAATGCATTTTTGCGTTCAGGATTTAAGAGAGAAATCACTGCCGTTCCTTCCTGCTCGCCTGTTAGCTTAATAAGTGTTACATCTCCACTCCCTAAGACTTTAAATTTCTGCCGTACTTCAGCTTCGTCAAAGAAACTATTTTCACCAATATTTCTTGAACCAGAGCAAAACAGTTTTGCAAACGTCCTCCGCACAGAAGAACGCGTAAACGAACTTCTTACTAAATGAGAACGCATGATTATTGTCAGTAATTCACAGGCTATTTGATTGACGAGTTACAGATCGCTACCACAGCACCTATAGGACCTTTAGTATAAATGAAACTGATCCTCTTTCTGTCCTTTTTTCAAAGCACTTGTACGTTGCCATATTGGCCGTGAATATGAAACCCGTTGGGGAGCCTGGTGAGAAAGTCCGGAGTTCGCAGCCAGATCTCCTCAAACCGGAATTTGAAAAGGAATAAAATCAGGAACATGGAACATTCCGGAACATCCCGGAACATTGAATAATATAATTATAGTAATTATGAGAAAAGTATGCAAAATTTATTTTTCAAAAATTAAATTAAACAAAAATAAACTAGTATCAGCCCGGAAAATAAAAAGCAAAACAAAAACGTTACAAAACAAACCAAAAAAAGAGAAAAAAGAAAAATGAAAATGACTGCAATGAGTGACGGCTCGCAACTTAGAAGACTAATCCATTCCTTCCAGTCGTTCGCCATCAGTTTAATCACGTGGCTGTCCCTTATTCCCAGATTTCGTTGTTCATAGAACTCTTTAATCAGACAGAAAAATATGGGGTACACGAGTGTGATTTCTTTATTCAATTCATTACGTCAGCTCAAGGATATACGTATACACGATTTCTCATGAAGTTTCTCCATGAGATAGAAATAGAAACTCTTCGACATTGTGTTTCTTGTGTAAACTAGTTCGGACTGCTCAAGCTGTGATGACAGTGTAAACAAATACAAACACAAAATTTAAAAACATTTGGCGACGCACTGTCTTACAGGGTCGCTGGTCAAAACTTTATTGTCTCAAGAAATATTTGTTGCAAGTGTTGGCGATCTGAAATTGAATTCAAAGTGTCGCCAGCAGTTCAAATGCCTTTCCTGGAAAGTACAAGTTAGTTCTTAATTAATTAAAAACACTTCTACCGTAGGCTATAATCTATTCATCGCTAGTTCAACTTCACGTGTAGATCGCTATCTGACATTCGATCAAACTTAGTTTTCTATCGAACCATTCGAACGCCACCAAAGTAGACGAAACAAGCGAAGTACGCGCGTGAACGCACTGCTCTAATCTTTGACCGGAAAGGCTGAGTCTGCACTTGGTGGGTCCTAGTACCAGGCGTTCCTAGCGGAGAGAGCGAAACTGGGGATGATAATTGCAACACGAAGACGGAACAGTAGTGACAAAACTTTGGCTACTGACTTAACAAGCAACTGTATGATGCTCCTACGAACACCTCAGATGTTGAAGAAATCAGGGATCAACAAAGGAAACACAATGAATTACCTGGCAATCGTCGTCCGAATCGTCCAGGTTTGTGCTGTAAAGCCCCGTGACGTGTTTGGCCGAAAAGAAGAAGAGCCTGCACTCATTGTGGTCAGTTGAAGGAATACCCAACGCTCCCTACCCCCCAAAATATCTTTTCATATTTCGAGCTGATACCAGTTTATTTTTGTTTATTTTATTTTCGAAAATTTAATTTTACATATTTTTCTTATAATTATCATAGTTATTCGATGTTCCGGGATGTTCCATGTTCCTGGTTTTATCGACGGCCATTTGAAAACGCCGGTGTCCGGCCTTTCGTTTTGGTGCTGACGATTTTGAAAACAGAAGCTTTCCGAAAACGATAACGGCATCACGATGATCATGTAAGTTTTCTTCAAACACAAATCCAAAATGACCAGTGATTGTTACGTTTTCAAATTTCTCCGGCGTAGTGTGTACGGAAAACATTTGATTCTTTTTCAGAATGAAAACGTAGCTTTTAAATTTCTCCAGCCAGGAGCCCTGTTCCAGCGTAGTGTGGTTGGGGCCTTGAAACTAGACGGGTCGAAACTTGCTTACTGGAACTAAACTATGACTGTTGAAAAACTTCACACTTATCTAACAATTCATCCCATCACGCCGGCCTAACGTGAACAACCATTTTCAAAAGAAAAGGCTTTATTTTAACATCATCGACTGACTAAAACGAGGTCCCATTAGGGGTTTTTGGAATACCGATATTAGGTCAGAAAAAATTATCGGGACAGAGGATATATAGGGGGAAAATCAATGGGATATGGGATATTTAGATGAGATAAAATGGGATGTAAGGTGCATGCATGTATGAGTTGAAAATTAACGGAATGTGGGATACTCAGACCGCCCCCCTCTGCTAATGGAGTATCAAAAACTTTTCATTGACACTGAAGATTCTCGTCCACAGAGCCTCCATTTCTTTTGGTCACGTGACATTTGCTGAATACAGACTGTGGACTACATTTACGCCTAATTGGCGCTCCGGTTAGCCTTAACTGCGCTTACTAGGCTAGTCTGTTTACGGTTAGCTATCTATAACGGAAATGCAAATTCGGAATATTAGTTAAACATTGTGTAGTCTGCCTGCAAATGCCATACACCCCAGGGGTCATACATCGGGCTGAAGATGAGGCTTTCGTTCAGGTTGTCGAAACGTCGGTCACCAACAATAGTTCTTTTCAGAACTATCCTCATCTGGACGATCACACTATAACAACTTCTTTTCTGAACCGCAATGATAAGTTATTACCGGCGGAACATAAACCAACCAAAGAGAAACCTTTGCGCGAATATAACTGAAGCCCAGCGCTGATTGTCAGAATTTTCACTGTATATCCCTTTCAAAGTGGGTGATAACAGAAGTATTATTATAGGCCAGCCATTGACAGGAAGTGAAAGTCTTACGCTCTAGGTTTGTCGGAAATCAAAAGTCACGACAAATCTGGCACACTTGTTCATTTCCAAATTCTCCATGGAAGAGAGGTTTTCTGCTTCCCATTTGCTGTGAAAATGATGAATACTTTCATTTTCCTGACCGCAATGTAGACAGAATACTTACAGTCTGAGTGCGTGACGGAGTCACGCACTACAATAGAGTGAGTGCACGTGACGTCATCAAATTCTCAAATCCAAAAGTAAAGAGCCCCTAAAGGTTTTATCCTCATCAGGCATAAGAGGTACTAAATTTATATCTGTTTAAAACTTTCCAGCTCAATAGCGTCCTTCGTTTGGAAACAAGCACATTTTGAATTTCGGAATCGTGGCGGTGCGTGACATGAAGCAAAATCGCGTTTGTCGAAAAATATACACTTATCTCGTGATTTTTAGCCAATTTAGGAGTAAAAGTGCTTTTGTAAATGTTTTTTCGGTCGGTTCAGATAATCGGTAGTCTAGATAGCCAAAGTAAGTTCCAGAATGTTCTAGATGTTTACACTATTTTTCAGCCGCCATATTGGAGAACTAAGCAGGTCCTCCAACATGGCGGCTCCATACTAGGCTCTGTAATTTTGCGCTGAACATTTCGACTAATATCTCAACTTTGGGACAACGCACGCACCTTAAACATGGATAACTGTCTTCATTATTTATCGTCTATAATATCACAATTTCTTGACTTTATCGACTGAATGGCTTTTGATTTCATTTTTTATTATGGGACAATGTACACACTCTATGGCTGCTTTGCAGTGTCACGCCATCAAAAATGAAAATCGTAACCATTCAATAAATTAAGTCAAGAAGCTGAGATATGAAAGATGATTGATATATAAATAACCTTGCCAAGTTTTAAGTCTGTACGGTTTTCCATCCGCGCGTTATTCGGAAAAGTGTTTCACTCAAATTTATAGAGCTTTGTATGGTGTCGCCATGTTTATGCCCCTCG